GGCCCAGTAGGTCAAACGTTATTCAAGTTTAAATATTTTATTATTATATTATATACTATAATTTTATAATTTTGGCCGGAATTATAAAATTTGATCAGAATTATAACCTGATATTTTGGGGACCCCACCCACCCACCCCAAAATTACGTAAATTCTGGAAGCTCTCTAAAAAAGTTTTATATGTGCAAAAAAAGAAAAGTTACAATATCTCAAGAACCACAAGGCCAATTTTAATAATCGTGCCACTATTAGAACCACAAAAATAAGCTCTACAACTTTTGTTAGAGCTTGAAGAAAGGTTAACTTAGTAAAAGAAAGACTTTACTTTGGGCTAAAGCCAGATTCCACTCTATTATAAAACTTATATGAAATTTGTTCTAATTCTTACTATAAAAACAGTGCCGATTAAAATGAACCATCAATTAAGTTGTTTCTAGATTCAAAATCTACTTAAGTAGATTCTGAATTTACAGAATTCTGAATCCACCTACAACATATATATATAAATAACTATTTAAACAAATTTATAAATAGTTAGGGTTATAGTTTATAGTTTAAGTTAGAGTTAGGTTAGGTTAAGGTTAGGGTTAGAGTTTTTTTATATTATAATCTTATATTATTAGATGATATATATGTGACATATTTTTGTAATTCTGTTAAGTTACTATTAACATAGTTAATATCATATGTTTATAATATAACTATAATATGAATATAATTTAATATTATCTTTTAATTGTCTAATAGTAATCTAATAAATATAATATTTTAATAATATAATAGCAACCTGTTTAAATTAATTAAATAGTATTACTAATATCTTAACACTTAACAATATGGTAAAAAATTGTTAATATTAACAGAATAAAAATATTTTAATTATATTTAATTATATTTTTCAGATATTTTTACTACCAATAAGTGTTAATTGTTATTTACAGTATTAGATACAATAAGTTTTATAAATATTAGTCTTTTACTAATAATTAGACACATCCAAATATTCATGCTTAATTTTTGGGGGATTTAAATTTTTATCAGCTTAATTTTTTTTTTTTTTTTTCCTTCAGGTAGTTATTATATAATAAATAATATATATTAACTTTTTCATATGTTATTCATCATTTTTAAATTCTGTCAATTATTAATTGATAGATTCTTAATAAGACTTGCTGATATAACGATAATACAAAATAGTTTTACTATATAGATACCACTTAAAGCTAACAAATTTCTTAGAAATTCGGAAAATCTTAATACAACAGCTATAATAATATATAGTTTATTACAAAAACAATATGCAAATACATTAATATTCCTTTGTAACGTTTTTTTATTTTTAAATGATTAATTAGATATACAGTTAGACCTCTCTAAATGCAATGCGACGGGACCACAGTAAAACCTCTATAAGTGCACCCTCTATAAGTGCACACCCTCTCTAAATGCATGCTCAAGTTCTGGCCCAATATATACGTGCCTTCTATAAATGCACTTTCTCTTATTGATCTCTAAGTGCACGTTGTTAAAGCTTGGTCCCAAGGGTGTGCACTTATAGAGGTTTTACTGTATATCGATTAGAATATCTCAGTGGGTGTTAATTTTTTAAACACTGGGAATATAAGAAACTCGTGATATTATTTACCAGAATTAAGAGAAACATTATCCACATATTGTCACATGGTAACCAGGTGCATATATGCATCTTAAGAAAATTCACGTGTGAATGCACAGTTTTTTGTACAACAATCGAAGATTGGTATTAAAATTCACAAAATTATATACCAATATTGGTACGTACGATTTCTCCCACCACTTCTGATTGGTTCTATTCATCATTCACATATTGAAGTGTCTATGCTATTTACTCAATTTTATAGTACTCCGATAGTAAAGTGGTGGGGAAAATTAGTAAATCCGGTACGTACGTAGTACGATTGCATTCGACAGAAACTCATATAAATTAGATATTCATTTTCTTTCTCCTTTAGTACAATTTTTTTATAAACGTATCAATTAGTAATCATGGAAGAAGCCAATATAATGATTTCTCGTGAAGGAGAAGCCGTAAAGGCGATTAAAGATATTTTTAGTGGTACTGTTGGTGGTATTGCGCAAGTATTAGTTGGTCAGGTAATAAATACATGTATTCATGCTATTAATTAATATTAAAATTAATGTTAGGAATATTTATTAACTTCATTTCTTAATGATAAAAAGCCATTTGATACGATTAAAGTTGTAAGTTTTTTTTTTTTTTTTTTTGAATTGATCATAATTTATAAAATTGTGAAGCAATTGATTGCGTAACATGAGGAATTAGCGTTTTGATGTTTACACATGCATAATTAGAGACTTCAAACGCAACCAGAACCGAAACCTGGACAACCACCTTTATATTCTAATATGTTAGATTGTGTTCGAAAAACTGGCAAAGAAGGTTTTGGCGCATTTTATAAGGTTAATTTTTATGTCTTTACCAAAAATTTTTAATCGCAATTTTTACAAAGTTTTTATTGAATAATTTTATAAAAATTAGGGAACTTTAACACCTTTAGTAGGAATTGGTGCATGTGTATCAATTCAATTTGCAGTATTAGGATACATGAAACGATATTTTGGTGAAAAGAATAAGAATCAGTTTTTAACGAATCCACAATTATACATAGCAGGTGCAACTGCTGGTTTGGTTAATTCTGTAATTTCAGGTACGATAAAAATTAACTGATATTAGTATTATTTCCTAGCATAAACTTTTAATTTTTTATTAGGGCCAGTTGAACATATTCGTACACGTAAGTTTTTTTTTTGTAGAAAAAGAATAATTTGAATTTCTCAAATTTACGCTTAATGTATAAAATATAGGCCTTCAAGTCCAAGTCACACCTACAAAACCATCTGCTTCAACTCAGACTCAATTATATTCTGGTCCAATTGATTGTATCAAGAAAATTTATTCTTCATATGGAATTCGCGGAATTTATAAAGGTCAAGTGATTACTATGATACGTGAATTTCAAGGATTTGGTGGTTACTTTTTTGTATATGAATACTTGTTGCAACGTGCAATGATAAAAGAAAACACAAAAAGAGAGCAAGTTGCCAAATGGAAACTTTTACTGTTTGGTGCCGCTGCAGGTAATTTAAATTTATAAAATATATCATCTTTAGGTCCGACTATAGAAAATGATTAAATTTGATTCTTCATTTTTATAGGATTTGGGATGTGGATACCAGTTTATCCAATAGATGCTGTAAAAAGCAAATTACAAACTGATGGCTTTACACCTCAAACAAGACAATATAAAAGTGCCATAGATTGTTTCGTGAAAGTTTATAGAAATGAAGGTGTAAAAGGATTTTTTAAAGGATTTGGTGCATGTATGCTACGTGCTGCACCTGTAAATGCATCTACTTTCATGGCCTATGAATTGGCTATGAGAGCTATTGATAAATTATAACTCTTATTATTATTTATGTAGATTTTAATTCCATATAATCAAACCTGGGTGTAACGAACCCTTTTATAACAAATCTTAATAATTTTAATATGATAGATCTTTTTTACTAGTGTTTAGTCATTCGTATGTAATAGTTATAGGCATAGTATGCCAAATAGCTATTATATTTTTGCAAAAATGCGATTTGATTGGTAGATCTTGAACAACGTTCAAATTGCTTAGCGAATACTGTGTCTGATTCTCAGTAGAGTTATACGTTAGAATAAAATTTTTATCAAATCAAAATTTAAATTCGGGGTTTCATTATGGTTAGGATTTGGGGACTAAGTCTTAAGGTACGTATGTACGTACGTACATAATACATTCGGAGCTTAAATTTATTTCGATTTATCTTGAGATAATTGTAATTGAAGTCTAAAATTTACTAACGCTCGATTGTAAAAAAAAAAGATTATTCATATAATTGATATAATCAATGCAATTTTTATTGTGAGAAGAGAGTAGATTAAATAATACATAGAAAAGAAATATACTGTATAAGCGCGTAATAACGCACATGGGCGTTATTTCGAAATTTCGATTTTTTTAAAAATGCGTATTTGACTCAAAATAACGCCCATGCGCGTCTCAAAATAACGCGCCCCTCCATATGTACCAGATTATCATTCAAGAAAGTAGTTGAATTTTTTTTTCAAAATTAGCATAATGATTTGAATTAACGCGCATGCGCGTCCCGAAATAACGCGCCCCTGCGCGTTATTACGCGCTTATACGGTACATTGATTATCTATTAAACTTGTGCTGTTATGTGAATATAAAATCAAATTTACAGTATAAATATGTAGAAATGATTTTATATCAAAGCAGAAATTTGATTATTAAAATGCATATAAAATGAGCTTCTCGTTTTGTATTGATAATTAGAAATGATATATGATCAAAAGCAAAAATGGTTTAGGCCTTTATAATTCAATATTTATTTTATTACATTCTTATATGTTATTAAAAATAGTATTAAAATGATACTTATAATTGGGATGGAAAATGTTTAAAACACAATCTTTAGAAATGTTTTAATACATTATAACGTTATTATGATCCGATTACGCAGTTTAAATGTATAGTATTACTAGTATTTATTATTAATAATATTCAAAAAAAATCTTCTCATGTTCGTGGCACCCTTAAACTTTACAAAGTTTCGGAACTTGATAGACATGATCGAACAACACCTCATCAAAAATGTAATTATTGTGAAGAAGACTGCTGATTTAGTTAACCGATTAAAAGGTTATTTTTTGATATTAATACCTCCCATATACAGTAAATTAAATTTTTTTTGAACTTTGAGCGACGATATCTTGACGGTTCTACCACAGAATCCCGACATCCAAAATCTCGACACTCAAAATCCCGAAAATCAAAATCTCGAAAGTACGGCAGGTTAAAATCCCGACAACACTAAAATTCTGATGTCATACAGTATTGGGATTTTAGTATTTTCGGGATTTTAACCTGACTACTTTCGGGATTTTGGATGTCGGGATTCTGTGGTAGAACCCATCTTGACAGCTACCAAGCCAAATTCGCAAACGCCTATCGAAGTAGAAGCTGTCCAAAATTTTTTCCAACTTTTGAGCGAAGATATCCCAACAACCACTGCGCCAAATTCGATGAACTTTTTTTTTATTTGAATCTTACACATTCGTAGAGTTTAAATATAGAAATTTCATAAAGTTTGGCTCGGTGGTTATCGAGATATTTTCGCTCAAAGATTAAAAAAATTTTGGTGCAGCTTCTGTTTTGAATCCTACAGATTCGTAGAATTCAAATAAAATGAGTTCATCGAATTTGGCTTGGTGGTTGTTGAGACACCTTCGTTCAAAGTTCAAAAACTTTAATTTGTATGTGGCACAATATCAATTCCATTAAAATATAAAAAATTTCCAAGAAATATAAAAGATTTTATTCAATGAGGTTACATAGTGGTAATATTGTAAACTTCGGATTCAATACCAACATATGTAAAACTAATACAGTATGAAAGATTGTATTTTCCGATAGCATTTAGCTTTTGAGAAAAATTAAAGCGATCAAATATATTAACTATATATAAGGTAAATGGAGGTATTGTGGCCAGGTTAAAGTTTTTACTAATAAACCTTTTTAATAAACATATTGTCACAGGCTAAAAGGAAGATCGATGAAATCGGCGCAGCAAACTCATGACTTTAAGCAGATCGGTCATCGGAATTTCGGATCGACTAGTACATGAGGCTTACCGGCTGATTAATGGAAATGATAACCTACGTGAAATCCGAAGAAAAATTCCAAGAAGAACAAATGAAGATCTAAAGAGAAGAAAACAAGAATCAAGAAATAATTAGAAGTAATTTCAATATAAAATATTGTAAAGGCAAAGCCTTCATTATTATAATCATGTTGTACTTATCTTTGTAAGCCCCTTAGTTATA